ATACATTTAAGATGCACATACATTACTATGTTATACACAATACAAAAAAAAAAAAAAAAAACTGCAGTATCACTACACACGCATCAAAATGCCTAAAATGAAACAGAAAAAAAAACTGAATTGCTGAATATTTGAAGATTTTTCGTTTTGTCTCTTTTTCATCTATCTGCTAATCTTTCACCCACAAGAGTGTGAGTGCTGAAAAGGCAGGAACCTCATCCCAGAGTGATCCTGGATCCCCAAGGATGCATCATGGAATAGCGGATGGAGTGATGGCCTGGGCCTCCAGCAGCTCAGGCTCTATCCCCAGCTCTGCCGCTGACCTGCTGCATGACCTGGGGAAGGCCCGCCCCCTCTCTACATCCCAGTTTCCTCATCTCTTAAAATATATTCTTCCTAAGAAGAAAGACTAACATTCACTGAGCATCCACCACCTGTCAGACACTGACAACCCCAAGTAACTCTCACCATAGCCCTAAGGAGGAGGAATTATTGTCTCCATCGGACAGATGGAGAAACTGAGGCTCGGTGCAGTGGCGTCACTAGGGTTGCTGTCACCCAGTGCAGTAACTCGTGGTGTCACCCCCCTCCATGGACCTCCTTCCATACCAGACTATACAGAATCCCTAGTAATGTTTTTTGTACTAATGTTACTCGTAAATCGTAATTCCTGTGTATCACTCCTTTTCCTTTAATTACTACTTCTTTCTCAAAAAATTTATTGATATAGGTTCACAAATACTAATGACCACAATGTCATAGCTAAAACACCAGAAAATCTGACAAAATCAGCGACTATGAAAATACTGGCAGTAATGAAAACAACAGCAGGTGCTTGTAGCACATGCAGACAAACGAGGAAACCATGTGATTCAAAGCGCCATTATAATTGGGTAATAATGACAGCTCTGACCAGAGGGCATTAGAAGTTCAAAAAGTCAATTAGAGTAGAGTTTTAGCCTTGTTGGTATATTGATACATGTCAGCTGGGCTTACAAAAAATGTTTTTGTTGTTATAACTAACTACAGGGATATTTTTATAAAAAATAATAAATTTCCGCTGAAATACTGCACAAAAATTTTATAGATGGTCATTTTGGTGTCACTGCTTCTGACGGTGTCACCTAGTGTGGTCCACACCCCCTGCACTCCCCTAGTGATTCCACTGGCTCAGTGGAGGTAAGAAGTGACTTTCAGTCACGTGATGGACCAAGTAAAAGAGGGTTCCCTTCTCCAACTACAGATACAGAAATGCTGAACAAAATAAACAATCAAAAACAGTACACTACTTGAAAGGAAAGAAAAGAAGAAGGAAAATCCCCAGGAGGTAGAAATTAAGAAGGAACTCAAAACCAGAGAGGAAAACAGGAGCTGATGCTGAGGACTCTTAGGGTGTCAGGCTAGAGACAGGTCTAGCTTGGAAGCTATTTCAATATACACATTTGCCTCAGAGCGATGAAGGGGGTTGGGAAGGAAAGCTGCTAAAAAAAAAAGTGAACTCCAAATCTGTGCAGGTTTAAGTGGGGGTCAGATTTTATAATGTAAGAACCTCAAGCTGAGATATTAACATAAAAACTTATTCAAAATCAGTTAAACTCCCAGTGTCCTGAAAGAATCAACTCTCTATAAATACTTCCACGTGAGTCTCCAACAGAAAACAACAAAAATAACAAAAAGAAGAAACAGCTCCTGTTGCAGATGAATTCATAAGCAAGAACTACAAACTTCACAAGGAAATGTACTACCATGAGGGAGAATAAGCAGACAAAACCAACGGGAGACTTAGCATAGTTAGACTTGGCAGAATCTATAGAATTAGTTGTATTTCAGATTATTAAAGAGATAAGTAGAGAATAGAAACTCCGATGAAAGAATAGGATAATACAAAATGAAAAATTGGGCAACACAACACACATAGTAGCAGAGATGGGATTTTCTGTGCTGTTTCGCAGCTCTAAAATACTTTGGATAGTTCGATGACTTTGAACACAGATAGTTCCCCAGTCCTATCCCACCTACACCAGGTCTTCCTATCCCTCCACCTGTGCTCCCCAATCCTACCTGGCACTAAGGAGTTGGTAAGGCAGGCGCCAATGGCCAGTACTAAGAATGATGAAATCATGATGCACCCCAAGACCTGCTTCCTCTCTTGAGCCCAGAGATGAGGTCGACGTGGGCAGGTTGGCAGTGGTCAGATGTTAATTGATGTTCCAATCCTAAAAATTGAAAAAAAAAAAAAAAAGATGACATGTGGGCCACAGCTCCAGATTTTATTTGTTCATTCACTTATTCATTCCACAAGGATTTGTTGAGCATCTATTATTATAGGCCACGTATAGTATAGAGCTAGGCGGTGGGAATACAAAGATGTCTGAAACACAGATGGTCCCTCCCTCAGGAAGCTTAATCACACCAACAGTTGTGTAAGTACAAATGAGTTCCATGAGCCAATGTAGTTCCACACCATCTCCCAAGTGAACTCCCACTCAATCCATCTGAAGCTCAGCATGTCTCAGAGACCCAGTCTTCTGTGTGATGCTTCTCAGACGTTAGTGTGCATCAGAATCATCTGGAAGGTTTGTTAGAACAGATTCCTGGGTCCCATCTCCAAAGACTTTGATTGCATGTCTGACAAGTTCCCAGGTGATGGCTGATACTGCTCGTCTATGGACCTCCCCTTGAGAAGCGCTGTTCCAGAATGTCAGTCTAGCACATCAGAGACAAAACAAAGAAACCACCCTTTCTTACAGGGCCACCAACACATTTACTTCATTCTCTTTTAGAGCTTGTCATTAAAAAAAAAAATTTTTATGCTATATTTTATTTAACCCAATATATCCAAAATATTATGATTTCAACATGTAATCAATATCACAGATCATTCAGAAGATATTTTTCTCTTTCTTTCGTACTAAGTCTCTGAAATCCAGCATGTATTTTACACTCACAGCACATCTCAATTTGTACTGGCCGCATTTCAAGCGCTCAACAGCCACATGTGGCTAGTAGCTGCCTTGTTGACAGCACAGCCCTAGATGCATTCATGCTGGAGCCAGTTCTACCCTCGAACTTCCTAGTCCGAGGAAATCATGAAATCCTTTTATTGGCCTAAGCTAGTTTTAGGTGCGTTTCTGTCACTTGCAACAGGAAGAATCCAGACTAACACATACATATCCCCAGGTTCTATCCCAAACTCTGGAATCTTACAGCTTGTTATTTATGATGAAAGACACAAAAACTGCAGGAGTGATACAGAAATAGATTGGATGGTAAGGGTGGCCATTTCTGAATGGCGACATTACAGATGACTCCAATTTTGTTTTTCATTGTATTTTCTGCATTTCCCAAATTTTCCTGTGTTGAGAGGTTACCGCTATAATTTTTAAAATGCTATTGAAAAAAAGAACACTGGAAGGCAATACGCCAAAATGTTAACTGTGGTTTTCTCTGCCTGGTAGGACTGTGAGTGATTCTTTCCTCTTTTTTTTATGTTTCCGAAATTTCCAAATTGTCTAAAATGCCAGCAGAATGTTTTTCAACTGTGGTCATCCTGTTAGGATCATAAGTGACAACCCCATTGGCTGCTGAAAAATGTACTAATCCTGTTGTGAATGACTATTACTGGAAGATGACAAATTTTAATTGGCAAGAGTTTCACTGGCAACTAGTGACATTACTGCAATGAAAAGCCAGGAGAAAAAGATTACATATTTCATTTGTTGTGGAAAACAGTGATGATGCGGCTGTCATTCATTTTAATCATGCTTGCTGCAACAACAGAGATAAGGAATCCTCTACCACCAGAAAGAGGCACCCTGGTGGCGCAAATCGTTAAGCAGTAGGCTGCTAACCAAAAGATTGGCGATTTGAACCCACCCAGCGGCTCTGAGGGAGAAAGACCTGGCAATCTGCTTCAGTAAAGATTTCAGCCTAGGAAACCCTATGGGGCAGTTCTGCTCTGTCATATGGGGTCACTAGGAATCAGAATTGACTCGACAGCACCCAACAACACCACTACCAGAAAAAGGGATTTTGATTCAACCTTATAATCGTGCAATGCCCCAAGTGATGGCTTGTCGAAACTCCCATCCCAAAACATCCAGTATTCACCAAACATGCAGTCCAATTGCACACTGTTGTGCTTTTGTGCCCCCACTTCCTCATCTACCTGGCTCCTTAAAAATCCAACTTGGGGTGCGGGGAGGAAAGTGAAAGTCTAAACCCTGTGTCTAACAGCACTTAACTCTGAGTGGTGATATTTCAGATAATTTCTAAATTATTTTATCTACTTTTATTCTGTTTCCAAATGTTTCCATAGTAAATCCTAAAATCAGAAAAAAAAGTTAAATTAAAATATTGTTAAATGGATATACATTAAAATATTATTCAAAATATTTTAAGAACTGAAGTCACCTCCTTCAGGAAGCCTCACTCATTCTAATACACTACATATGAACTTGATAAGTCTGAAATAAGTCAGATCCAAATGGACAAATACTTATATAAAAAATCTAGAACAAGAAATGCATAGAGATGAAAGTTTGCCTGTACCTCCCTGTTTTGAAAGTCTTTCCTCCTTTATCAGCCCACTCGCCACACTGGGAACTTCCAAAAGCAGGGACTTTGCCTTGTTTGTCTGTGTACTTCTAGGGCCTGGCACTGTAAATACCTACATCACTTGAAAGCCAGCACTTTCAGGAGGGAGGCAGGGGGAAGGGAAGAGTCATCCAAATATCTTGATTTCCTTTGTGTGTACAGAAAAGTCTGAGTGTTAGTGAGGATGTGGAGCAACCAGAATATTCATTCATTGCTTGTTGGGGTGTAGATTGGTACAACCGCCTTGGAAACCTGTGGGGCTGCATCTACCAAAGCTGAGCAGCATACATACACCCTATGACCCTTGTATCGCCAACAGAAATGTATACGTATGTTCACTAGAAGACATGTACAAGGATGTTCATGTCAGCCCTGTTCATGACAGCTTCAACACTGTGCCCATCTGCAGCAGAATGGATAAGTCTGTGTGTGTATTCACAACATGAAAATCTATACAACAAGAATGAACTATCTCCCACTCCACAAAACAGTGTGGATGAATCTCACACAGGTTGAGCTAAGGAAACCAGACCTAAGAGTACATATAAGCGTGATTCCAGTGATAACTCATTGCCATTGAGTCGATTCCGACTCACAGCAACCCTATAGGACAGAGTAGAACTGCCCCCATAGGGTTTCCAAGGCTGTAATCTTTATGGAAGCAGATTGCCACATCTTTCTCCTGCAGAACAGCTAGTGGGTTCAAACTGCTGACCTTTCGGTTAGCAGCTGAGCACTTAATCACTAAGCCACCAGGGCTCCTAATCCAGTGGTGCCCCAAAAACTATCAAGTCGATTCCAACTCATAGCGACCCTGTAGGACAGAGTGGAACTGCTCCATTAGGTTTCCAAGGCTGTAATCTTTACGGAAGCAGACTACCCCATCTTTCTCCCCTGGAGCCACTGGGTGGGTTCAGACTGCTAACCTTTTGGTTAGCAGCTAAGTGCTTAATCAGTGTGCCACCAGGGCTCCTATTCCAGTGATAGGAAGTATAAAAACTAATCTATGCACGAACAGCAGAAGACAAAATAGATAAAATGGACTTCACCAACATTAAGAACCTTTGTGCATCAAAGGACTTTACCAAGAAAGTGAAGAGGCAGCCTACACAATGGGAGAAAATACTTGGGAGCCATATATATGATAAGGGTTTAATATCCAGAATATATAAGGAACTTAATCAACAACAAAAAGACAAACAACCTAATCAAAAAATGAGCCAAGGCCTTAACTAGACATTTCTCCGAAGAAGATATATGAACGGCCAATAAGCACATGAAAAGACGCTCAACTTCATTAGTCGTTGTTGTTGTTGTTGTTAGTTGCTGTCAGGCTGATAGTCAGGCAACGCATCTCTGGATAGTTTCAAACTACCAAACTTTTAGCTAGGAGCCAAGCGCTTAACAGTTTGTACCACCCAGGGACTCCCGTTAGTCATTAGATTAATGCAAGTCAAAACCACAATGAGATACCATTTCACACCCACTAGGATAGCTGTTAACAGAAAGAACTGAAAACAACAAGTATTGACAAGGATGTAGAGAAATTGGAACCCTCATGCATTACTGGTGGGAATGCAAAACAGTGCAGCTGCCGTGAAAAACAGTTTGGTTGGTCCTCAAAAAATTAAACCTAGAACTACTATATGACCCAGCAATTCCATTTCTAGGTATATACCCAGAAAATGTGAAAGCAGGGACTCAAACAAATACTTGCATGTCAATGTTTATTGCCGCTTTAGTTACAATAGCCAAAAGGTGGAAATAACCCAAATGTTCATCAACAGATGAATGGATAAACAAAACGGTACATATATACAATGGAATATTATTCAGCCAAAAAGACAAATGAAGTTCTGATACATGCTATGATATTATGATATGGATGAACTTTGAAAATTTTGTACTAAGTGAAATAAATCAGACTCACAAATACTGTATGATTCCATTTTATAAAATATGTAGAACAGGAAATGCAGAGACAAAAGCTTATTATCAGTGTTTACCAGGGAAGAGACTACCTGGCTAACCAACTGGAAGAGATCCATATTTGGGTCCATTCCAAAGAAAAGTGATCCAACGGAATGTGGAAATTATTGAATAATATCATTAATATCACATGCAAGTAAAATTGTGCCGAAGATAATGAAAAAACAGTTGTAGCAGTACATAGACAGAGAACTGCCAGGAATTCAAACCGCATTCAGAAGAGAAATGGAATGAAGGATATCATTACTGATGTCAGCTGGATCTTGGCTGAGAGCAGTGAATACCAGCAAGATGTTTACCTGTGTTGTTTTATTGACTAAACAAAAGCATTTGACTGTGTGAATCATAACAAATTACAGATAACATTGCGAAGAATGGGAATTCCAGAACACTTAATTGTGCTCATGCAGACCCTGCACATAGATCAAGAGGCTGTCGTTTGAACAGAACAAAGGGATATTGAATGATTTAAAAACAAGAAAGGTGTGTTAGGGTTGTATCCTTTCACCATACTGTATGCTGAGCATATAATCTGGGAAGCTGGACTATATGAAGAAGAATGTGGCATTAGGATTGGTGGAAGACTAATTAACAACCTGCAATATGCAGATGACACAACCTTGCTTGCTGA